TCTGAAGTTGTACCCATCAGTATTGTCGTGATGTCCTGAATTTGGGCCCAGGGAGGCAGCAGACTTCCCTGAAAAGAGGGTCTTGTACTAGACTGCCGTCTTGTGGTAGATTGTGCTTTAAGTCAGGTATCGTAACTGACAGATTAAGGGGTTATGTCATATACAATGCATATTGTATTGTTAATACATGATGAAACCTTGTTGCAAAGTTTGACACTTTTTTCCCAAATGTTCTTTTTGCTTTGGTCTAGAAACAATTGCACTGTAGATTGCACTGTGCCTTAGAAGTTTTGGCCAGTATTTTATTTTCAACCTTCACAGGAGCACTGAACTATGTGAAAACATGTAAAAATTCTGAAGGATGCTGGTGATGGCTCTGAGAACTCGATTGTAATTCGTATGAACTGCTGCATCAAATAAATCACAAAATTTTAGCTCTCACCCAGTTTAGTTCAGGCTTTTGTTTTCTTCCTTTATCAGGGATTCTGAAAATGCAAGAAACTGTAGTACTGGATGATATTTCAATTTTTTTTACTTTTTATGCTTTTTCCAGTCCAGTGCTCTACTTGATAGGGCTGAATATATTAGGATTCTTGAAGGATTTTGCTTGTTTTTTATAATCCCACTACATAATGAAAAATTCTTTGCCATAAGCTAATCAGATCTCTTGTGAGATAGAGGGAATCCAGATTTACTGAGACTCATCTGTTAGAAAACCTTTTTGTATGTTGAAGGACTGTCTATATCCATTTAGCCTCCTTTGGCACACTAAACAAACACAATTATTTTGTCTGCCTAATCATCCTATTTGACAAGATCTCTAAGCCTTTCCAATTATTTCTGTCCTTGACTCTAGAACTTACCTTTTTTGTTGTTTTGTTTTTTAAAGTGCCATGTATAACAATAAGAAACCATAAAAAGGTTATCTCTGGATTGCTAGTAGCACGAAGAATAAAATCTGTTTCTCACTAAGCCTGATAAACTGCCAGAGACAGTTCTGACACAACTTTTCTAGCTGTTTAGGTAGCATCTTTTTATTACTAATAAATGCCAAATGGTCTCAGAAGTGAGTTATGTGGAGATAATGTGAGGAAGATACAAAATGAAGAAGTGTAAAATGATATTCATCAAGCTGCTTAAAGTACTAAAAGTGAAACTAAACCAGGCAAGGCAGAAACTCCTCCTCTTTATTTGCAACTAAAAGAAGAAAGTATTTTCCATTTCAACATTCATATGTAGAAACTAGTCCTCCACACATTCACAGAGTATTGTTTGCACACTGGCATAGGTTTATATGTATATATTCTTTATAAAGACTTCAGTTGTCTTTTATTAGATGTCTAGTAAAGCTATGGCTTTTAGGAAGTTCTATTGTTTTTAAGCTCCGATGGTTATCTTTTCCATTGGAAGGGCTGGAACTTTTGCCTGATCCTGTAAAATGTTTTAATCTATTTAACAGAATGAAACAACTATGTATTTTCTTCTTTTTTTAACAGGAAGTTCGTAAAGTAAGTGAGAGTATCAAGTATAACCACCCTTTGAGAAAATGTGTCGATACAATACTGAAAAAGGTAACGAATTTCTCGTCTTCAGCCATAATTGTTCAATTGGGAGGGGGTGTTCCTGCACCTGGTGAATACTTGTACATTATTTACATTTCCCCTAACATAAAATCTCTGATTGGCATCTTGTGAATTTCTGACTGGAATTTGAATTTAAATTCTTTGTGGAATGCTTTCTTATGATGTGTGTAATTATCTGCTGTATTTTGACATATGCAGTACTTTAGAAACAGAAAAATCTACACTTAAAGTGAGCCTTTCAGTTGCATGAAATGCACCAAACATTTACTAATAATTAACAAAAAGCACTTACTACTGCTTTATCTTTCAGTTAATTTTCACTTTTCCTTCCAGTGTCCTGCTGAGTACCAGGAAAGAATGGGTAGGAACATGGATGATTATGAAGATTTCGATGAAAGACAGAACAGTTATCCAACTGAAAAAAGTTTGGTCAAACTTCACAAGCAGGTATATTAATAAATGACAGAATGCCTCACTTACGCTAACATAATGAGAATAAATGCTAGTCAAACAAAGACTTTCAATGCACTTTACCTGAAGTGCTGAGTATAGTGGGTTTTGGGATTGCTGCTTAAGAAAATCTTTTCTCAGTGAAAGAAAACACAGAGGTTTAATATCCTTAGTGATGTCCAGATCACATTTTTGCATGCATAAAAAATGTTCTCACTCAGTTATATCTTGACAGTGTTTTAATTGTGGATAAGCCTTGTAATGATTGATTGTCAGTGCATCCTGAAAAAGAAATTGTAATAAAAGGTTGGTATTCACTAAGATGCAGAAATTAAAATAGTATATTGGAAAAAGTAGACTGTCATTGCTACAGATAGATTGTGATGAAAGTGTTACCAGAAAAGTCAGTTGGACAAACTCTCTAAGACTCAATTTGGAGTTTTAGAAAACAGGAATTCTTTACTGCAGTGCTGGGCGCACATGTGAATATTTTCACAAAGGTGAGTGCACCCGATACTTGCCAGCAGCAGCTGTATATTTAGGATACTCATGCATATTTACAGCGTTTCCAGGAACTAATTACAATGTTTGCATCCTAATTAACCACGAGCTTTGTACTGAGTGGAGGTCTCCGGTGGTCACTGATAGCCTTTCTCACTGTGGTTACTGGATGACCTCAGTGCTTGAGCACACTTGCAAGGTCCTAGTACTGAGTTAGCAGTTGGAATGTCCTTGCTTCTGTTCTGTTCCAGTCTCGCCCCACGATGGGCGCCACTCTGCTATCTTGAAGGCTGGCATCCTTGGTCTTATTTACTGTCTCATTAGCTGTTATCAGTCCTGTGATGTTCCTTCCCCTGTAGCTGAACATTCCTTTCTCTCTACATGTTAGTAAGTTAGAACAGTTTGGTTTATTCTACTGCGTTAAAGGTACACACGCTATTGTTAGTTCAAAATTTAAGCCTACAGAAGCACTGCAAAACACAGGAATCATGTGGGTAGTCCTTTTATGATTTATTTATTTAGAGAATTAATTACTGGCTTTTGTGAATATCCAGAGTTAATCTTTCCAATCCTGTAATGTAGACATCTTTAAGGGATTTTGCAAGGCTTTTCTCTTGTTTCTTGAAACAAGTATGTTGTAACCATGATTTCTTGGAATTTATTGTAGGTAATCTATTCAGTCCAGAGACATCGTCGTACACAGGTCCAGTGGCAAATTCTTTTAGAACAAGCATTTTACCTTGAAGATGTGGCAAAAAATGAAACCAGTGCAACTCGACAGTTTGTTCATACCTTTCATTCCCAGGAACCAGAGAATAAAATCATTCAGTATTTCTACACACCAACTGTTGGTAAGTGCTGTAATGCAGATTTTCAGTATGCAAAGGAATAACTGGTACTGTTCCATAAGAAGAATGTATTTTTTTATGTAAAAGGTTCAGTTACAATAGAGGGAAACAAATGTGTATCTTTATTCTTTTCTGTAATGGAATAGCCATCAGTTACCGATCGTTTATATATATTTTATATATATA